TCTTGCCAAGTTGCCCAGGAGGGTCTCGAACCCTCGGACTCAGGTTCACTCACCTCAGCCTCCCAAAGCGCGGGATTACAGGCTGAGCCACTGAGCCCAGCATATAATATATATATTTAAAAAAAAAATGTTACTTCATTTTACCTACATGACTACCTGATTAAGTAGGTAGGTGACATGTTTTTCTCACTTAGCAAATGAGTTAATCAGGGTACAGAGAGATAAAGTAAGCACTTTTTCCAAACTCAAGAGTTAGTAAGTAGTTGACTACAGGATTACAATTCAGAAAACCCAAGAGTTTTTTCTCCCTAAAGATAAGTCTTATTTTACAAATTAAGCAGTACTAAAAGCACCAGGAAATTCTGAGACTTTGAATTAAAAAAAAGCTATTAGTCCAATTTTATGTTTTGTGATTTCTTAAAAGTAGTCTATTTGTACTGTGATATATGAACCAGTTTTTACGTGTGGGAATCTGGTGGGCCTCAATATCCTCATGACTACAGAAGTATGTGTGCCTATGTGATTTTCTTAAAATTTATTTTCATAACACTCACACATTTGAGTATTTGTCTTGTTAGATTATAAACTTTTGAATGCAAAATAGTTTTAGCTTCTTTGTTTCTTCTCATAGTCAGATATATGTGAATGATATTCACGATCTTTTTAGTGAAAAGACAGAGGTAACTGCTGTGTGCTTACTGTCCAGAACTGAGGTAGAAATGGTATTTCCTCAGAGCGATGAACCGTCTGCTTATTTTTCACTGCCATCTACTGGTGCCCATTTTTGTTTCTGATGAAAAAAAATCCTTCAGGGAAGCCTATCAGAGGGCCTTAGAAAAAAAAGTCATAAAAATTCTTTTGAGAAAGTTCCTTCAAAAAGAATAGATGTTGCCTTAGTAGATAGAGCTACCTTAAGTTTTACAATAAAAACTACTAACATCTAAGAAAGTTATAATTTCTATTATAATGCCCCTAAGCATTATAAGGGCTGCAAATTAAACTTATAGACCATCAGTTCAATTTTTTTTTTTTTTGAGTTGGATCCTCACTCTGTCTCCCAAGCTGGAGTTCAGTGGCACACTCACAGCCACCCCAGCGTCGACCTGTTGGGCTCCAGCGATCCCTCTGCCTCAGCCTTCCAAGTAACCGGATCTACAGGCATGCGCTACCATGCCCGGCTAATTTTTTATTTATTGTTGAAATGAGGTCTCGCCAAGTTGCCCAGGCTGATCTTGAACCCCTGGGCTCGGCAATCCACTTGCCTTGGTCTCCCGAAGTGCTGGGATTACAGGTTGAGCCACCGAGCCTGGCCTCTAATTTTTAAGGGATAAAATAATGAACTTATGACTTTTAGTCAGGAATTCTTCTCAGATTAATTCTGGAAAATTAACTCAAAGTCAACAACATAATATTTCTGGCTTGTTAGCCAATTAAAACATACATTCCACATTTACAGGTTAAACAATGTGCTGGATTCTTCCAAAGCTGCAGGAAATCAGACAGACAGGGCTGCTATCCTCAGAGAAAGTGACTATGGGCAGGCAGGAGATTTTCTTAGTTTTGATTATCCAAATCAACAAAATTTAAAATTTACTTGATCTTTGTGGTAAAATAGGTTTTCTCTTTGCATTTTGGATTTGTTAATACAAATTAAGTTTCCAAAGCCTTAATACGGCAACTTAGGCTTTTTAATATACCATATTATTGGGTCTTGAGTTCTTTGGTGACTAGTATTTGATGGAATATTAGGTATTAAAAAAAATCACAATATAGTTTCATCTTCATGCAAAATCCTCTCAGTTTTTATAGTAAAACATATGAGATATTGCTGTTTTAAGTCTGAAAAATATAAAAATATATTTACAAATCATTAACAAATTTTTCATTCCTGTAACTTTAAAGTTGGGTTAGAGACTAGCAAGGATAAATCTAAATTTTTTCAAAAACAGAGGAAACACGGTACAGACTTTATCTTACCTTCATAATTTTCAAAACTCAAGAAAGGGAAAATGTTTTGTGAAAAAATGATTTTTCCTAAATACATCACAATCAATAATTGTTTTATTACTGACTTTGAACTGGCAGTGGTTCCTTATATATGTATGTGTACACACACACACACACTTTGTCCTATATTGTACCTAATGACCACAGACAGATATCACAATGCATAGGTGGGATAGGTTGGGCTCTTTGCTGGTTAACTGGCTTCAGAACCATGTTTTAGGTGGCCACTGTCTTACCATTTGGTAACATTCTAAGCCACTAAGTATTCAAATTTTCTAAGTTGCTGATTTCATATTTTCTAAAACCCAGCTTCTATTCATTCTTTTAAAAATGTGATTTTACCTCCTCAAATAAAATGTTTGGAATAGCAATTGTTCAACAAAGAGTTTTCTACCAGAACCAATTCTATGTGGAGGTTAACACAAACCTTTTTGAGGATGCATACTAATTTTCAGAACCACAGGCTACTAGGCAATATACTTGAGACTAGTTAAGGTAATTAAGTGGTTGAAAGACTGTATTCCTGGATTCAACACTGATGCAGGCCAGTTTGGCATCAGACTCTGGTCATAGTTCTGGTTAGTTACTATTCACAAAATATACCCAGCTGTTCACAAGAGGACTGGGTGGACATTAAAAGAATCTAAGTGCAAATCCAAAGTCAGATAGAAAAATGACTCAAGCTAGTGAATCATTACCATTTTAATCTATGATCACTAACGTGTTTATAATCAGTTTGGTGGTTGGTCTAAATTTTCTAACTTACTGAAAAGAACTTTTCACTAGAAGAATTTAGGTGTATTTAAATTTTTCTGTACAAGAAGGAACCCACCCCAAACCAGAATTTATGTATAAAATATTGTGTATTTATTCTTACATGTTTAAACTTCAGTCACCTTCAAAGTACTGTTTGATGCCATAAACATTCGAGATGCTTTTTCCACTGCCCAAAGCAGTTAGTGAACTGTCAATTTTGATACCTTTTGGTGCTTCAGCACCTCTTTCACACTGGCAAAACATTCCCTTTGAGGATTTTTTCAACCAGGGAAACAAATAAAAAGGTGCTCAAGGCGAGATCAGATGAATAGGGAGGTCCTGGGGGTCATGCCATTTTTGGTCAAAAACTGCTGAACACTTAGCGTGGTGTGAGTAGGTTGTTTGTGCAAATTACCCATTATCATGAAATGGGCAAACATGTTGAAAAAAATCTCCAAAAAAAAAAATTCACTGAAGTCGAACACAGCCTCTCACAACACTGCAAGCTGATACATTGATGCCGATGAATTCCTGGAACACTTACCTAGTTGGGGAAGCCTGTACTACAAAGAACCTGTCCTCCAAAAAATAACTACTTTTTTTGAGTTTTCCCCCTCATATATATAAAGTAGAATATTATCAAGAAAAGTTTATACATATATTTACTTTTTACCTTCAGGGTCAATTTTATCTTATAGGTAACATTACAGAAAATTTAAAAGGCATTTTGTTAATTTAACCTTTGTATTATTTCTTAACAGTCATAATGGAATAATTGTGTCTAATTTAAGACATTTATCTGGTTTTGCTGGCAGATTTAAGGACTTAATCTAGACTAACTATTAAACAAAAATTCTGTTAAAATGATTTTAAAATGCCACCCCTCAATTGAAAATTTTATTATAATAAATATCTTTGTAAATATAGCCCATAAGAAACAATGTATTTCTTTGATAACTGTACTTCCAAAAAAAACTTCCACTTTTTTAGCACTGTCAGGAAAAAAGAAACTTAAACTTTGAGAATGTAAAAAGTAATTATACAACATTTAAATTTTTCCTTCATTTAAAAAATCATATGCCTTTAAATAACAAAAGAAAGAGCTAAATAAAATTTGAGAAATTACAATAGGCAAACATCATTAATGACCCAAACACTATTTATTAGAGGTCTAGTCCTGCTGGAGGCTATATTAAAATTTTTGTGATCAAATGATTCTCCCACTTCAGCCTCTCAAGTAGCTGTGACAACAGGTGTGAACTACCATGTCTGGCTGGCTGTAAGCCACATACTTTATTTTACATGGTTCTAATTTTCAAGACTGGCCACCTGACAGAATATGCTCTAGTCTGCTAGAATTGACATCATGTCACTTAAGTCAGCTGCACACAAAAATGTTGCAGAGAAAAATTACATATTATGTTATGCACATCATTGCTGGTATTCCTCAGAGGTGCTCTACTGCATCAAAATAGCCATTAAGCCATTAAGACCTAAGTCTGCCAGTTTTTGAAAAACTCAGTGACACAGATATGATAGCCTCTTGATGTATGTCATTGCCATGTTACTTAACATGACTCCCAGGAGACCTGGCTTTAGAGCTGATTCCACAGCTGTGAAACTTGGGCCAAATGATAAGATACGGAATACTATTTTGTTTATTGCCTAAAATGTTTCTCAACTAATAAGAAACATATTTACAGGTGGTAATATAAGTTGCCCAGAAACTGAATTCAATGACAGAACTGTGAATGACAGACATTTGGGATTTCTTTTGTACACTCCTCTGTCCAGTATAGTGGTATGCATATACCTGGGATGTTAATTTGGGAATTATTTACCACATAAGACTTCTTTAGGCATTCATTTTGGGATTCTTGTAAAAACAAACCAATTTTGAAGAATTTCTAGACTACAAAAATTAATAAGCAAAAATTTCTTGCCATTATCAATCATAATTCCAATAGCTGGTGTTAAGGTGGGAAGGTTGACTGTTCCATGTACGCCCACGTGTATACAGCACAATCCAAGACAGAGGTGAGGGTATGTACTACAAAAAAAGAAGGGAGAGAATACGAATAGGGTAGAATTGAAAAGGAACGAAGTCTATTATTTTTTATATTAATTAAAGCTATAAAATGATAATCCTTATGAGGAAATAGAGGGAAGTAGAGGGAAGTGATACTGGGGAAAAACAACAACAAAAACTCTTCCAAACACAATAAAGCATATTCTGATAGGTTTTTGGAAAAACTGAAAGCTTTTTTTAATTCGTTAACCTCTTTTGATCAGTTCAGATTTTTAGCATTCCATACATTCTGAATTGTAACTAAGCAACATGTTACTCACAATTTTGTTAAGATGCAAGAAAAAAAATTTGTGATGGAGTCTGAACAACTCAGAAACTAAAAAGATTCCATTGCTAGATTTATATACTTGATTTTCTTATAAAAATAACTTCAGTTATTATGCCAATATTGATCTGAAAAAGGCAGCCCTCTGACAGTAAACCAATAACTGGAAAAATCACAGTATCATTACGAGCTACAGTGAAAAAAACCTGTGAAATTATTTTTCCTATTTGAATAATAAATATAAACATAAGTGAAAAACCAGAACTATTATAAAAATGTAAATAAGATACAGGTAAAAACAAAGCCCAGAAGGGAAATATATAAAAATTAGAAAGATGCCTCAAAAGTCAACTATCTGCCATGGTAATACAGAAAAAAACCAAATTCAATTATCCATGGGAAAATTTTTATGAAAGTAATTTGAGAAAATAAGGGAACATATATGTGTAAAATATAAAACTCTAAATATTTGATATATTTGAGATATTCGACAAAGTCCAGTTAACTGCTATAATTTTTCTCCCTCATGTTTTTCCAGATGAAACAGTAACCTATAGAATTTGTGCATTCAACTGTTACAGAAAAATTTATTAGTTGTGAAAAATTAAAAGTATTTCTTCAACCTTTAAAAAGGAAAGAAAACAAAATGAAGAATCTCTTAATTATAATGTAGCATGATAATAGCATGTTTATTTTGCCACATCATGATGGTTTTTAAAATGAAATATGGTCAGAGAAAGCAAATTTAGGAGAATAGGTGACTGAAAACCAAGTTATCTTTTTAGGCCAGTCACAAGACTTTAAGTGACAAGTGCATTTTATCATCTTAGGCATTTATGTAGATGATAGCAGAGCAGGCTCACTGTAGTCAGCCACCCCAAACATTTCTAGAGGCCAGCCCACAGACTGAACTTGGCCTGTGGCCTATTTTTGTATGGCCCTGAGCTAGAATGGTTTTTATGTTTTTTAAAGGGTTAAGAAAAACACACACATACACACAAAACAGAAAAGAATATGTGACAATCATATTCTTGTTCTCATATGCATGAATCACATCTGGTCTGTAGAGCCTAAAATATTTATGATCTGGCCCTTAGCAGGAAGTTTGCAGACCCCTCTTTTACACCAACGTTGTACAGAATTCTGGCAGCACAACTGCAAGTTCAAGATAATGTTCACTTATTCCCACCACAAATGTAGGAACGTTCTACAAAGGTGTCTTCTGGTGACACTTGTCAGCACTTCTTTTCAATTTTTTCATCATCAACATCATCAAAGTTCATCCTAAAATGACAGTGTACAGGTGATCAAAAGAGAAAGGAAGAAGTATGAGTTGTAATTTTAAAAATAAGGTAAAATAGTATAAACTAACAAACATTTTACTTTTTCAAAAAATACTCAATATTCTTATCTAATGGATCCCACATGGCATATACTTTACCTAACTAAAACAATAAAAAAAAAAGAATATCTTCTAGTTCTTACTTTCCCACAGCAGATACTACTAACAATAGTTTTACACACTTTCAAGGTCATATTTGGTGTGTTCTCTAACTTATGTTCAGTTATGATATTCTGGTTTATGACTAATAATATTGATATCAAATATTTAACTTCAGATAAAAGTCACAAATTTTAAAACAAAATATCTTGAGAAAATAAACATAGACAAAGCAGAAAAACATGCTTGTTCAATGAAACCAAGAAAACATAGATTCATAACTATCTCTTTCCTAACTTTCAGATTTGTGTAAAATATTCTGGAAGTAGGTTGTAAGACTTTTTCTACTGGGGTCTGCAGTTCTGAAATGGATTACAGTAGAACATGTATTCTAATATGGTGCTATAAAGCCAGATTTCTCTAGTCCTCTCCAGAGGCTGAGGGAAAGAATCCAAGATAACTCATATGTGACTGTATTAAACTCCATTCAAAAAGCATTCCAACATTCATAGACTCTCTAATCTGTTTCTAAGTATGCCCAAGAATAGCACTGATTTAAAAAAGGAAAAAATCAACTGCCTTCTGAAGTATGACAGAAAAAAGGTTGCAGTGCTTCTTGACAGATTATTCAAAGAGGGGTCAAGATGAGTATGGGTTTCAATATGTCTTGACTATACCAAGAACAAAAGAAGATTGGTTATCCAAAATGTCTAAGGAGCTTCCAGTATATGTATGCTCAGAAATTCAATGCTTTATTTACATATGAGCACAATTTAAGTAATTTATGGTCACACCCATTATTTTTTAAAGCTTGACTGAGATATATTTCACATGCCATAAAATGACCTCATTTAAAAGTTCAGTGGTTTTTAGTATATTTAGATTTGTGCAGCTGTCATTGTAATCTAATTTTAAAATTTATTCCATACCCTCAAAAGAAACTCCTTATCCACTAGCAGTCACCCTAATTTCTGCTTTCTTTTCCACCCTACTTCACCCCAGGCAAATGCTAATTTACTTACTATCTCTATGGATTAGTCTTTTCTGGGTATTTCACATACATAGAATTATACAATATTGGGCTTTTTGGGACTGGTTTCATTCACTAAGCATGTTTTCAAGGTTCATCCATGTTGTTGTGGCAAAGATCAACATTTCATCTCTTTTCATGGCTAAAAAATATTCCACTGTATGGATATTCCAAATTTGTTTATCCATTCGTCAGCTGATGGACATTTGGGTTTCCATTTTTTTGTTTTTTGAGCTGGAGTCTCTGTCGCCCAGACTGGAGTGCAGTGGCATGCTCCCGGCCACCGCAGCCTTGACCTGCTGGGCTCCGGCGATCCTTCTGCCTCAGCCTTCTAAGTAGCCAGAACTACAGGCGCATGCTACCACACCTCGCTAATTTTTGGTTTATTGTAGAGACGAAGTCTCGCCAAGTTGCCTGGGTCGGTCTCGAACCCGCGGGCTCAGGCAATCCACTCGCCTCAGCCTCCCAAAGTGCTGGGATTATAGGCTGAGCCACCGAGCCCGGTTTTTTCTTTTTGCTATTATAAATGATATTGCTATGAACATTTGTATACACTTTTTTGTTAAATGGTTTACTTGTCCAAGCATTTCAGTGTCTAGGCTACATTTTGATTGTCACATTTCCCAAAGTAGAAATTTCCAGCTATCTTACATCTTTTAAATCTTTATTTTACCTCTGTTGATACATGTAATATATAGAATAAATTTCGATTATTTTTGTTAAAGTCGGCTCTAGGCTTGGTCCTTACCTTATTTCTCTTGCCTTGATTTTGGAAAGTTTCCAATTTTTCATTTATTAAAACAGCAATTGCTTTTGCATCTCTGGCATTTATTTGCTCTTCCCAAACATTTTTCTAAAATTAAAAACAGTCTTAAGTATTTAATCAAAACACGACATTTCCATCTAAGAAATTTGATTCAATATGCTTTAAAGTTGTTTTGTTCCAAAATGCTATGTGTTTGAAATTCAAATTTCTTCAAGGAAATAATGCTGCAAAAGCAGTTAACCCATAATGTACCTAAAATAAAATACTAATAATAGTGTTATAGGGACAATTCCTTGGGAAAAAAAGTATCACTGACCCCAAAAGCCTCAAAAAGAAAAGTCCCCAGAGTACTGAAATCATTCTATTTAAATACTATCATTAGCACTGACACAGACTTGACTACAGTAATCATGAAAAGCAATCATACCTCCTAGTTTCCTTCAGTTCTCAACAGGAGGGTGGCCAAAAGCAGAGGAAGGAGCAGGCAGATACATCCAGACCCACTTATTCTGGATCTGGAGCCCCCTATTTTCTTAATCCTGGCGTGAACTCCAATCCACAAACAATATGCTAGGATTTGTGTGTGTGTGTGTGTGACTGCCCACCTGGTCTGTATTTCTGCAACTCCAATCATCACTCTCTTTTGGCCTTCCTGTCTGGCCTGAACTTCTGGAAGCTATGCCTGTCTTTCAGCTTGGACAGGGACATTTGGTTTCTAATTTTGTCTTTTGGATTCCTCTGGACACATAGTAACATATTTTCAAAGAGCTCCGTCTCTGGTCTAGTTAATTCTGTGATTGCTTCAATAATGTTTTATGTTTCTTTCTAGTAGTTTTCCTATTCATTAGTATAGAAATGCTAAGGTATCTGAGATCATATCAACCGTGAGACAGAAAAACTTTTAACAATCACTTGGCATATATGTAAACAAAAAGAAGCATGTATCAATAGTATGTAATAACATTAAAAAAAAAAAAGGGAAGAAGAAAATAGAAAAAAGCATTACTCAGACTGAAAAACCCATCTCCTTTTGAGTCTGGCCTGTTAAAGGAAGGAACAGAGGAAAGCCCGTACATACTCTTGTCCTCTCGTAGTAATAAAACTTAACAGTTGGATAGGCTCTGATTCCAGCTTTCTGGCATGTCTGAGCATACGCCTGACAGTCTACTTTTCCAGCTTTCACTTTTCCTTTCATCATCTGAAAAAACAAAAATACAGTTTGCCATTTTCTCTTTGCCATCAACTATTTTGGCCACTACAAAACAATATGATGTAAACATTTCAAATCTTTATATATACTTAAGGATTATTCTTTAAAAACTTTAACCCTTCCTATTTAGACAAGATCATTTCCAAGTTTTTCACTGCCCTTTAAGCCCCTAGTCACCCAGCATGACCTCTCCAATAGCAAATAAACTCCTTCACCTTATCAAGAAAACGGAAGTTTACCCTGAACTATCCCAATTTCTTCCTGCTACTCACACCTTGCCCACCAAACCCTGTTTCTGTATTCTTTCTTTTCCCTTCTCTGTTCTCGTGTGCTGAGGCAGCACTCTGAGCATTCTGTCCTGTGAAGGCTAAACACTCCACCTATGATCACGCCCTCCTTTTTCTGAGCAGCAGTCTTCTTTTTTCACCACGTCCTCATAATCTACATTTTAGTCTAGCTTCTGTTCAGTCCCTCCACTGGGCCTGCTCTATGTTCACCAGTGACCTTCACTTCATCAAAATGAATGCGCACTCTTTGGTTTTCTTATTGGGCAGCTGATAGTGCTGACTACTACTTTCTTTTCTTTCTTGGGATCTGTCACTACTCTTTCTTGGTTTTGTTAACCTCAGACTGTTTTTCCTTTCGCTAGCATGAGGCACTCCTCCTTGAGTTGTCCCTCAGGTTATCACATCCAGAGTTCCATCTTTGGTCAATCTTTTCACTGTGGAGTCTCCCAGGGTGATTTTACATATCACATTCTGATGTACTCCAACCTCTCCCTTCAGTTTTATACTCAAGTACGTACTGGCCTGCTTTGAGTGAATGCCTCATGGGCACCTCAAACACATGTCTAAAGTTAATCCTTTCCCCTTAACCCACTCCTCCTCTTGGCCTCCTATACATTGAGTTCAAACCAGAAATTAGGTTTATCCCAGACTCGTCTCTATCCCTTAGCTCTCACAATCAAACATTAAATCTTGTTTATTCTTAACTTTTTATATTTGATATTTACATATTTTAATATTATATAAAAATATATTTGCATATATTTATATTTTATATTTATTTATTCATATTTTGTCCCCTTATTTCTATCAACACTGCCCTGATCCCGGTTCAAGCTATCATCTCTCACTTCAGGACAATTAAAATATCTTTGTTGGGGGCACAGTGACTCTCTCTGGGAGCACGCACCAGGGACCCCGGGATCACTTTTCCCAGGACTGTGCTCGTGGGGCTTGGCTGTGCGTCTCCACTGCTGAAGCTCTCAGCACCTCTTAGCTCCAGTCTCTGTCACTCAGGAGACCTTTGTGTAGCAATTACCGCTCCCTCCCAGCCCCTCCATCCCCAGAATTTCATCAGTAACTCTGCGCACAGTTGGTGTGCACTAGTAAAACACCCCAACTCACCAGTGACAGCAAAGCAGATATTGGAAGTATTTCAGAAAGAAGGGTTAGAAGAAATAAGTTCTGGCAAACCAAATTCCCAAGAAGCCCTAAGGAATGCAGGAAAGGCCTAGCTGACCCCTTTGAGAGCATCTTCCTTCCGAGGGTTTAACAAAAAAGAATTATCGATGCTTGGCAAGATGGCGATGGGACAAGTCGAACTGTGAAGATCTCCACAAAAGGTGGCTTCTGAAGGCAGTTCCATGTGTCCCTGCAGCCGCCGCCTACATGGGGGGTGGCTGCTATAGCCAGTCCCATGCAGCAAACTGCCTCCATTACACTACGGCCTCTACAAGGGATTACTGTTGTGGTTGCTAGCAGGTGCTGAACAGCTGACTCCTGCCCCGGGGAATTCCCAGTTCCTTCCTCCACCCCAAGCCGCCCATGGCACACCAAACTGCAGCAACCGGCCACCTCGCTGGTTCCCAGTGCCTGATGCTAAACACACACCATCATCGCCCATCATAGCAGATCAACCAGGGCTCTGGACGAGTGGAGAGAGGATTGGCGAAAGAGGAGCCGCCCACCGCAGCCATTTTCCAGGCAGAGATTTGCATTACCCGCCCATCTCCCCTGTAGCCTCCACCTTGTTTTCTAAGGTAACCTCGCCAAAACAGGAGACAGAAGCCCCTCCCCTATGCTGAATCAGACACAGACAACTCAGTTCTGTGTGGCAGACCTGTCAGGCAGCAAGCCAAGGTATTTGACCCAAGCCATGAGTAACCCTGTTTGCCTGCAATGAGAGCAGAGGGGAGGGGCTAGAGATCAGAGCCGAAGAGACTTTAGACACTCAGGAAAGACCCCAGAGCTAGTCTGGCTTCCTATTTTTATTTTATTGTTTTGACTGCTTGGTTTGTTCATTTTTGTTTGCTCTTTGATTTAGACTACCTGTTTGTGTTGGGGAAGAATACATCAAAAGGCATGATTTTACTGGACTCTCTTTGGGTGATTACCGGTCTGCTTTAGGGAATTTTCTTTGTTATTTATTCTTTTCTGGTCTTGTGTCTCTTTTCATTCGTTAGTTGGTATGTCTGTCTGTTTTCCCTCTTACTCTTCACTCTCTCCAACTTCCTCTTGACCCCCCCCTTCCATTATTTTTCTTTTTCTCACTTCCTTTTGTTCCAGGGAGCAAAACTAAACCTCACTGTATGGACAGATTGTAAGGCAGTGGGAAGTGGGTTCCAGGGTACCCATATACAATGTCAGTGGATACTGGGATCTGCAGATAGATTTTGAAACACAGCTTCCCCCTCAATTAAATCTCAAAACTGCAAAAAGTACAGCCCCCAACCCACAGTCCAGCCTCAAAAGTGAACGAAGCCAGAGGATCCTCATAAGGAAGAACAGGAGATTAAACAAAAAGAAGTAAAAGCAACCCCATCTTCCCTGAAAAGCAGAATTAAAGAAGGGGAGGGAAAGGGGGAGGGAAAGGGGGAGAGAAAAATCTACACAAATGAAGAAAAACCAAAAGAAGAATATGGGTCTTTCACAGACCCCTGGGAGGTCAGACACTGTGAAAACAAACTTCCAAAGGCAAACAATGAAGAGCCCCCAGAATAGCTGGTCTCAAACTACAAACCCAGATATCAAGACATTAATAGAGAGATTAAAAAGAATTGAGGACCGCGCCTTTGGGAGGCTGAGGTGAGTGGATTGCCTGAGCCCGCGGGTTCGAGACCCGCCTGGGTAGCGAACCTCATCTCTACAATAAATCAAAAAATCAGCTGGGCGTGGTAACACGTGCCTGTAATTCTGGCTACTCGGGAGGCTGAGGAGGAAGGATTGCCGGAGCCCAGCAGGTCGAGGTGACGGTGGCCGGGAGCGGCCACTGCACTCCAGTCTGGGCGACAGAGTGAGACTCCAACTCAAAAAAAAAAAAAATTGAGGAGAGACAAGATGAAAATAGGAAAGAGTTGATAACTGAGATAACAGTAGTAAAGAATACCATGAATGAAATGAATAACAAACTGATAAGTAGAATTGGCCAAGCAGAAGAAAGAATCTCAGAGCTTGAGGGCCAAAATATAGAACTAACCCAAATTGTCAAAAACATAGAAAAGAAGCTTAAAAAGGCAGAACAAAACCTTCAAGAGATGAGCAATTACTTCAAGAGACCAAACCTAAGGGTAATTGGATTTCCTTAGACAGAAAGAGACAGAGACCACACTGGAACAAACTTTCCATGAGATTATTCAAGAAAACTTCCCTCATCTCATCAGTGATGCAAAAATTCAAACACAAGAGATTCAGAGAACCCCTGCAAGACAACAAATGAGAAGACCAACTCCCAGACACATAATAATTCACCTGAACGGAGTAGGTATAAAAGAAAAAAATCCTAAAGGTAGCAAGAGAAAAAGTCATATTACCTACCAGGGAAGACCAATCAGAATAGCAGCAGACTTATCTACAGAAACCCTTCAGGCTAGGAGAGCTTGGAGCCCTATCTTCAAAGTTATAAAAGAAAAACAATTTCAATCAAGAATAATCTACCCAGCCAAGCTAAGCTTCATCAGTGAGGAAGAATTAAAATCTTTCCCAGATATCCAATCCCTAAGAACTTATGCTGTCACCAGACCACTTCTACAAGAAACACTTAAAGTATTAAACACAGAAGAAAAGGAAAAAGAAGAATGGCAAAACGGATAAAATATCACCAGGCAACAATCTATTGCCTCCAAGAGACTCATCTCACTAGAAAGGACACTCACAGACTCAAAGTAAGAGGGTGGGAAGCAAAATTTCAGGCAAACGGGACACAAGAGAAAGGAGGAGTCACGATCTTAATCTCAGACCAAATACCTTTTAAGTTATCAAAAATTTAAAAAGATACAGAAGGCCGGGCTTGGTGGCTCAGCCAATAATCCCGTGGCTTTGGGAGGCTGAGGTGAGTGTATTGCCGAGCCCACGGGTTTGAGACCCGCCTGGGCAACTTGGCGAGACCTCATCTCTACAATAAATCAAAAAATCAGCCGGGCGTGGTAGCGCATGCCTGTAATTCCGGCTACTTGGAAGGCTGAGGCAGAAGGATCGCTGGAGACCAGCAGGTTGAGACTGCAGTGGCTGGGAGTGGCCACGGCACTCCAGTCTAGGTGACAGAGTGAGACTCCAACTCAAAAAAAAAAAAGATACAGAAGGCCACTACATAATGATAAAAGATTCAATTCATCAACAAGAAATATCCATCCTAAACATATATGCACCCAACATAGGAGTGCCAACTTTCATAAAGCAGTTTCTAGGTAAACTCAAAAAAGATATTGGCTCTAACACTATCATAGCTGGGGACTATAATACCCCACTCACAACCCTAGACAGATCATCAGGACAAAAAATCAGCAACGAGATCTGGAACCTCAGTGTGACTCTTGACCAAATGGACTTAATTGATACCTACAGAACACTCCACCCAACCAACAGAATATATATTCTACTCATCACCACATGGAATGTACTCTAAGATAGACTACATCCTTGGCCATAAATCAAGTATAAACAAATTTCAAAAGACTGAAATCTTCCCATGCACCTTCTTGGACCACA